TAGTTTATCTAATTATTTATTGTTAATTTCTAAATAAACAGCCCTTTTCAGGGTTACCTTGCTTTTCAAAATGTTCTTTTATATGAGCAAGCAGGTAACATGTTCACTGTGCCAGCATCTGCATGGACAATTACTAACAGATCTTCCAGCAAACTGCTGTCATCATCCGACCGTTAGCATATGCTACTAGGGGTCCAGGACAATTGCTCTTCAGACAGTGATCCAACCATCGTTATTGCTATTTATGATCTGGGCCACATTTTGCAAGTAACACTAATCATACATCAACAGCCACGTAAACCTCAATAAGCCCATTTATATTCCTACCTTCCCAATAACACTATTTAATGACCAAAACCACAACAATCTCTACACACACAAGTCATTTCATTTACCAAAATTAAAATTAACATTAAAAACTAAAATGTACAGCCCCAGAAGATGACAAAATTAACAATGTGATACTTAAAAACCTTTACAATCAAGCCTTATCTCACCTATCTGCAGTATACAACCTCTCACTTCAATTAGGATATTATTCCTTAATCTGGAAATCTGCCATCATTAAAGTAATACCTAAGAAACACAGAATTAAACAACCCGATCAGCTACAAACCAATAAATTTATTTAACACTCTCAGTAAACTTATGGAAAAACTAATCTCCAACAGATTACTCAACTTTCTTGAAACTAACAACATCCTGAACAATATACAAAGGCAAGTAGAAAAAAAAAGGTAAACCATTGATCGTCTGGTTAGGTTAACTGAATCTACCTTTCAAGGCTTTAACAGAAAACACAACACAGCATTTGATTCAGTATGACAAAATGTAGTAATGTATAAACTCTTTATAAATCATGTCCCTGTCCCCATTATACAATGGATATCAAGCTTCCTTGCCAACAGAAGTGCTAAAGCTAAAATCAATAATGCCTTATCTAAATCCTTCTCTTTAGAGGCTGGTGTTCCCCAAGGATCTAAGTCCTCTATTATATATTCTGTTCATAAATGACATACCGTTACCCGCTTTATCATACACTCTCGCATGTCAATATTATGATGACCTTGCAATCTGGAGCTCATCATGTGACCCATTTATCACAGCAGCAAGAGTACAAAAGTTACTTAGTCAAGTATCTCATTGGTACAATAAATGATATGTAGCCTTCAATCCCAATAAAATCCAAGCTATTTTTTTTCACAGAAATATAGGTAGACAATGGAAAAAAATTATGCAAGGTTAAACTTGAATTACATACTTTCATTTCATTTTTAAAAACACTTATGTTCTTAGGTACAATGCTTAATAAATCACTATCATGGACCAACCACATTAACAGCAATATCGTAAGCTCTAGTCAAAGAACAGCATACTTCTGTTGGATTGGTGGTTCAAACAAAGGATGCAAAA